TATCGTTGGTGTACAGTGGTGAGGCCGCTTGATGGCAGAGTTCAGATCCTTTGGGTCTAAACACAGTCGAAGCGCACCGTTACTCTTAGTGACACATACTAGGGAGTTGACCCAGTCTGTGGGCTCATCCACTTTTGCTATGATTCCCTGAGCTGTGAGGGAGTCCAGTTCTCTCTTCAGTGGCTCACGTAATGCCTCTGGAACTCGGCGTGGTGGATGTATCACTGGTGGCACTGTGGGGTCAAGGGTGACGTGAAATTCGCCTTTGAAACACCCGATGCCTTTGAAACAATCCTTGTGTTGACGCAGTAGTTCAGCTTTAGCAGCAGGATCACCTGTAGGCACCTGTGTAGCTGTCGTGTCTTGTTGCGTAGTAATGCTGTGGTTCAGCATAACTAGCTTCATATCCCGGCATGTAGGGAGACCCAAGATAGTTGGTCCATCAGCATCGACTACATGGAATGGGTATGCATTGGAGCATCCATTGTGAGTGAGGGTGAGCATACATGTGCCGTAGTGCTGTATGGATTGACCTCCAAATGCAGTAATCTTAGTGTCGGATGGCGTTAATCCGATGAGTGTACCATTAGAGTCGCAGTGTTGGTCTGGACACAGCTGTTTGTACGTGCTAATCGGAATAACATTTCCTTCTGCTCCCGTGTCAATCTTGCATATCAGCGGCATGTTGCATCCTCCACGGTCCACATGTACCTTGAGTACTGCCTGTGTATCGTAGACAGATCCTACACTGTCAATCTGCAGTGAGTGGAAGTACAGTTGAGGGCTAACTGGCCGGTCATCACTGTGCTCTGTGCCAGTAGTAGCTAGGCTATGTATACCCTGTTTGTACTTTAGCCTCGAGTCTTTGGTTCGGTGGTAACCAGTTTTCGGCTTCAATCCTTGCCCTCCGTTCGCGGTCTTGAAGGAGCGGCATACAGATTGCCAGTGGTTACTTTTGCCACATGCTTTGCATTTAGTTCCGAATGCAGGGCACAGCAGTCTCTGAGATCGGTCGTGGAAGGTGCCGCAGCTTCCACAAACACTCTTCTGTGTGCTCTTATACTTGTGCGATAGGGCTTGACGTGGACGGTCCATGTGCTTCATTGCATCTACTCTAGACTCTGTGCCTCAAATGTCGTGCAACTGGTTGCTTGTTGCCTCCAGCGTTCTGGCAATATCGATCGCTCTATCAAGCGTTAGTGTGTCATCGTATTCCAGCAACTTTGCCTGAACACGGGGATTGTTGCAGCCAAAAATTAGAGAACCAGTTGTCTAACAAACCTTTGTCTTTGTGACTTATTTAACTTTACCTGCCTTCTACGTCCTTACAGAGATATTCCATTCATACTAGATCACGGGGGATACATGTAGTTGGCGACAACTGCCCGTTTCTAGTTATTATTATTATTAGCCTTATATATTAGTCTTTAAAATCCAACGGACTATATCGAAGATGGAAAGCGACAAAGTTGATCATATAGTGTAGATAATAGTAGAAAAAGCATAAAATTTTCTAATTCACTAAAGAGGAAGGGATCAAGAGGATTCCAATACAGAATGACAGAAACAAAGAAACCAAACTTAAACGGATCCTTTGAAGATGGCATGTGTCGAAAGCAATGATCACGCTCAGATGATTGATCGGGTGCAACGAACAGGCTTCATCAAGCCTGTAAGAACGTTTTAGTTTCACCCTACTCACAACATTAAACAACTGCGTGCCATTCATACCACTACATTATTACATTATTATAATGTAACAACAGGGCGCGAAATAAACACCGGCCCACCGGCATATGCCGGAAAACTGTTTGGAGGGCCAGTAACATTGGCAAAACACCGCCCTTCTGAGCCGGTGGTTTCAGCCGTGTTAGCAAAGGGCACCCACCGGTCAACTCGGCCAGCTTTATGGCGAGCTCACTCGTCTGGAGGTGGGACAGCTCATCTCGTAGGTCGAAATTACCCTCCTGGAGATCGGCCATCTCGACTCCATCCATCCATGGACCGTTTAAAACGTGTATAGCTAGATTGATCAAATTGTTTAAGTTTCTACCTGTATATCTATCGATCGATCGACTGACCGACCGACCGACCGACCTACTTACCAATCTATTTATCTATCTATCCATCTGTCTGTCTGTCAGGCTGTCTATCTATTTATCTATCTATCTATCTACCTACCTATCTATCTACCTACCTATCTATCTGTCCATCTGTCTGTCTGTCAGACTGTCTATCTAGCTATCCATCCATCCATGCTTCCATCCAGCCACGTGTTAGCCGGCGAGTCAAGCTGTCCCACCTCCAGGCCAGCGAGTGAGCCACACTGGCCGGGTTTGTCGGCCAGTTAAGTTGACATGTGACCGTTAGCAAATACCTACATTTTTATTCATAGCATTAATAGGCAAATAGCCTACATTAATGTTTTACCTGAAGGATATCACGCCATAATTTATCATCAATTTTACAAATTCGAAATCAATAATTAATGCAAGCGTGCACCATGACATTGACAAAAACTCTTCGGACATCATTCACGATCTGATTCAAACAGCAAACAAAATTTGTGAGGGCTGGTAAAAAAAATCTGAATTACATGTCAGCTGTGCAACGATTGATGAATGGGCCAAAGGACATACGAGCTGTCCACATTTGCACATATCGCACATTGCGAAAATGAATTGTGGTCAGCGTTTATATCCATGAACCGATGAATGCATTCACAAACTTTTATTTTGTAACGAACGCATACGCTGGATTACAAATTGTGACATCCTTTCAGATGAGAATCATTTCAATTTAGATGAGTCGGTTTCTTATAGAAAATACATACACTAAACCTGCCACTAGGCTGCCATGATGGGTGGTAGGAAAGTGTACTTGCGCCACACTACCATGAGCCGTCATACATATGTTTACAACTAATAACTGTTACATATATATCAGCAAGCATGAAGAAAATCAGATGACATACCTCGCATGTCCGGCCAAGGTCCGTTCATCATGGTGCTAGCATGCATCTGAGTGGTCTGAGGCCGGAGTCTGGCTGATAGTGATAGTATTAGTAGTAGTACCAACCTGCAAAGCAGCACAGCGAAAGAGTTTGGCACGAAATTACTAGCAATTGACAGGTCACATGTGGCTAAAGAGAGGAATTGCTCCGACCTGTGATTGAAAGATAAAAATAGAATTTGTGATGTTTCTCAAGTCTGTCAATATATGACACACATGTATACAACTCGATTGATAACAAAACCTAGTCTAAGGTGGTGAGGGAAGTAGCTATTGAATTCATTTTAAGGCAAATTTATCCATATTATAACTGAAACTATATGTCGTTTATAAGATATTACAATCCTTTTGCTTTTAAATAAATAAATAAGAAACACCCTCGGTCTGTAGCCCTTGGCTGAAAAGTGGTTTTGCGCAACTCATCAGATCGTACGCTTTGAGTGGCGCCACCGTCGTTGTAATCAAACTGTAGTCGTTAGTTTTAAAACATTTTTTAATAATATTTCTAATGGTGATTGAACCATGAAACTTTTTATGTAGCGTAATTTTAACCTAATTTAACTGAAAATAACCCTAGAACCTAAGGTAAACGATCCCTTTAAACACTGTCATCAGTTATCCGAACATAATACTCCCCACCGTCTCGTTCGGATAATCGAGGTTTAACTGTATAATGGTCTTGTTTAAAAAATGTACCACTTAGCTAAAAAGGCCGATATGAAAACGATTTGTCATTGAAATGATCAGGGGTTAATAACGACAATGACTGTCAATATGCACCCCTGAAATGATGTATGTGATAGTACACAAAATAACAGTAGTGATAGTAACGATAACATTCAGCTAGAGGTCATATGTTTCTCATTGTGATAGTAACACATGAATTTCAAATAAACATCAATGTCAATATATTGTCTTACCCGACTCATCAAACTGAACAGGATTCAGAACGAAGTAGAGCTCGCAGACTTCCCGAATGAAGTTTTTCCAATCGACAATAGTGCTGCTCGACCTGATATCCAGTTCATGGCGTATAAGCTCCTGGTTGAGCATGTTTCTTGTCCAGAAGTATACCAGTAGAATTATCTGCTTGAGATTTAAATGGCTCCCTAAAAAATTCAATAATGCAAAAAAGCATTCTATAATTTTCACAGTGATAGAGTTTGCGATAACAATCAACGCTTGAAATACACACTCGCAAATATGCTCCAATCTGACATTATTCAAGTTAAATGCGTACATTTCAATGCTGGCATCATCTTTTAATAACTATTAACGAAGGCATATTATTTCACACTAAAAACACATACGTTCAAACAACGATCCTGTCCGAATGTTTTTCACCCGGCGGCAGTCCTTATTAAGGCATCTCCACGTCATGCCGTCCTTACACGCCAGTTTCCGTTCTGCCATCTGCTGGCCATTGCATGCAGCATTACAGCATTGCATATCTGTTGCCAGCAGTCCGATTCCTCGCAGAAATGCTACTGTACTAGGCACATCCACACAGTTTTCGTATAATCGCCCCCATGTCATTCCTGTGCAATCACAATGAAACGTATAAGCCATTCCTTGATTTACCAAATCCAAGTTCTAATACTATTCCATGTATAAACACTCTACGTAGGCCAATACTGCCAGGCGAAACTGGAATATGGGGTCAGTTCATAGACTTAATTAGACAATAACATTTACAAACTCAATTTGTGAAACACAAAGTGTTATGCTAATACCATTTGTATATATATACACAAACAGTTGCTCCTGAGACAGTACCATCTTTATAATACAAGTGCCGCGGAGCGACAGCGCTCATCTAACGTCTACTGCGGTGACTCTGTGGTGAGGTGGTGGGATTCTAGTAAACCCTGTTAGTCCCAAATGTGTTCACATACACGCCGAAACAGTGGAATGCACAGGGATGGTATCAGGAACCTTCTCAAAGAATGTTCGTTTGGGATCGTTATGAAAAATTTGCGCCTCGCAGATGGCGCGGTAACGTTTAAGTGTCTTCAGATTAAAGATGGAAGCTGCCCATCATACGTAGTAGCAACAACTATTTGCAAGACAGAATAGGTAAGCACTCATCCATTTACCTACGCAAGCCTACAGGCTGGCAATAGAGAGCTGCCACCTGTAACCAATTAACGCAGGCAAAAACGACACAGTACCACCAACCACATGCACTGGCAGTAGCCACTGGCAGTGGCATACGTTACATGTAACATACTGACAGTACAGAATGCCATAGAAATTATACGATTTAAGGAGCATAAACCTCTTTAACCCAAATTTAGCTTTTGAAATTTCAACTGTGACATTGTAGCCTCATACATCCAGGCATGTATAGATCTACTAGCAAACCCGGCAGTCAAAATTCTTCTAACAGACAGTCAACAAATCCATGTTTAACCCTCCTCTTGAGGGTCAAAAGGTTATCTGACACTTACTCTTCGGCATGTCAGCAGAAAGTAGATTTCATGGTCCTTTCAATAATGTCATAAAAATGCTAGGTCACCGGCTGAAACAAAAAGTTTTCAATCGCTCCGTCAAGACCATGTCCTCAAGAAAATGTCTAAAAATCTGCCCTGTGCCCATTGACCTTTGACCTGTGACCTCCAATTTCGGCACAGTGATGGCTTTTCCTACCATGATGGCTATACCACCAACTATCACGAGCCTAGGTCGAGCCGTTTAGATTTGTGCCGCAATTCTGCATTTCCTCCCTATACCTTAAGTTAAGGAGTGAATGTTCCCCCTTCTTTTACACCTCTTGACCTTTGACCTTTGCCGCCCCAGCTTCGACATCCCAACTCGTTTTCGGATTACCGCCCCCACGTCCCGAATAATCGTGACCGTATGTCGAGCGGTTAAGATTTGTGCCCAACTGTTGACGGACGAGCTCGCCGCACGGACGGACGGACGAACGGACGATCATGCGATTCTACAAGCTGCATCTGACTATGTCAGATGAGCTAATAATCATTGCGTGACGGTATGAGTACACTGTAGGGAAATCATGCGATGTACCATGACTACTGCACAAGGGTACAGGGTCGGATCTAGGTTTTAACTAAGGGGGGGGGGGTTTACCTGAGGTGATTGGCCTACACACCCCAGCGTGCCGAAGGCACGCCTTGCTAAGGGGGTCCGGGGCAGCCCAAAGGGGGGTTTAAACCTCCCCCCCCCCGTAGATCCGCCACTGGGGTAGAAATTAACTTGTGAACAATGATCCCTGCACTCAAAAAGAGGAGTCTGCAGCAAAATGAGGGAGTCTGCAGTCTGAAGTTCAAAAACTAAAGATATTAACAATAACGTATGTGCTTTATTTTGAAGATTCATACGGTTGCACGTCTGCAATTTTTTTTTGGACATTTGCTGAAAAAATACGGTAATTCCGCGAGGCCGTGCTCTGGAACAAACTAGTTAGTATAGCAGACAGTTTTCAGGGAGTCAGCACTGAAACTCACTGCATATGTCAATCAGGAAGTCCGACAGTAAACCAGGAAGTATTTGACTCCGGACTCGTGTTAATTTCGCATCCTGCTACATGTGGGCTCAAGCTATAGTTGAGCGAGTTGATAAACTTTGCGACTAAAAGTCGACACTGTACACGTAAAATATGAGCAATCAACTAGTAAAGAAAATATAGCATGTTCTAAAATATGAATATATATAACACACGGGCTATACCTGGCACGAATTTATAAAGAATACTTATACGTCGCTTCACGCATATATATGCACAATTCGAAAAGGTGAACGACTCTCAGTTGATTGCGTAATATACTAAGTAAACATATATTGGTGGAAATCAAACACAGCAACGTTAATGTAGGGTGCTTTGTGTTGTAACCTCATATATATATATATTATATAATATATCCAGAGAGACATGATACAAGATTGCGTGGCACAGCTTTGCTGTTGATCCTAAGCGCTGCGCGCGGATTAGACGCGCAGTTCCGCGGGATATTGCCACGCGGACCGCGGGGATGTTCAAGTATGATTGAACGCGCTGTCCGCAGTGGAGACGTGCGCACAAATTCGAGGCCCGCGCACGTCTCCCAGCGTCAGCGGATGGTCTGTCATTTTAGAAGATGACAATGATTATATATTGACGATATTGTAGGAATTGGAGATTATAAAACCGTAACAAAAATTGCTCAGTCATTCTCCAGATTAGCTGAATCAAAAAGATTAGAATTTAATATGAACAAAACAAATACAATGGTTATAAAATTCAACAACAAAGAAAGGATAGAGAATTTAATAGGCACCCCAAGTAATCAAAAAAATGCACCAAATATTCATACCTAGGGGATTAATTAATGATATAGGAGGTTATAACGAGATATGATAAGAGTCCGAACTTAAAATGTAGTCATGACGAGGGAAATATTATCGTGGGCAGAAGAGCAAAATATGGAAATCATACATATAGAAGCAAGAGTAAAATTATACGAATGCACAGTTTGACCTTCTTTCCTAAATAACAGTGAAAGATGGACTAACTTATATATTATATATATATTATTATTATTATTATTAGCCTTATATTATTAGTCTTAAAATCCAACGGACTTATCGAAGATGGAAGCGCACAAGTTGATCATATGTGTAGATAATAGTAAGAAAAGCATAAAATTTTCTAATTCACTAAAGAGGAAGGGATCAAGAGGATCGGCAAATAGA